GTAGGAAAGTCAAATGTGTGGATTAGTGAGCTGGACTGCCTGCATAGCAGCCAAACCCCAGGAGGCAGGGAGATGATCCCACAAAGCAAGCTACAACCCTCCCTTCCCCGCACCTTCCATCATCCCTGCTTCCTCGAACATATATGGGGAAGGAGGCTCTGAGTCTGGACAACATCATGGAAGCCAAAGCCGACTGGGTAGAGCCAGGCCATCTCAAGGGTATGAAAAAATCCTAGAAAATAATTACCATAGAAAATAATCATTGATGAATTTTACATTAATGAGTATTTTCATCTAGGAACTATAGGTACATGTGTTTGTGTGGAGGCAGAGGATGGGAATGAGGGTTATGCGTTATGGCGACAGAATAAGTTAACATTGTTATGGAATGGAGGGGTTGTTCCTTCAGAATTTGGTCCCATTGCAACAGGGAGTACCTGGGGTCCCTTTGATAGGCCTGAGATAATTATTCTTGAGTAAGCCTAACCAACCCAGAAGGCTGCACCATACAGTCATAAAACCAGACTGTAGCATTGGGATGGGTCTGTGGCACCAAACAAGAGTTTTACCTGCCAAGCACAGAAAGAGATGGCAATCCTCCCAGCTCATCTGCACCAGTTATTTCATCTATCTTTTATGGCAGTTGCTTGCTGTAGGTACCAATTAATACGTAAAATTAACATTAGGGCTCTACCAAAAAAAAAAAAATCTATTGACAGACATCAAATTCTGTCACACTTGCATTCATGAATTTTGTATTTCTAAGTAAGTAAAGCAACTACAGAATTTCTCAAAAATGTCATCCACTGGCACTTGAAAATGAGAAATATTAAAAGGGAATTTTGGTGCCAAAAATATAAAGGCCAGTTTTTGCTATCCTTAATCACAGTAAGTTGTACCTTACTCTGTGAATACTGGTGGCAACAACTGACCCTTACTAGTATTGACGAATTAAAATACATTTTGTAGCTCCCCCCTTCCACATACAGTGCAAAATGACCAAATTAAAATAAATTATTTTGCTACTACACAAGATTCATTGTAACGCTACGAAAATATACACTATCAGAATTGTGTATTATGTTTAAGACCCCAGTGTTCCAATCTGACTCATATGGGCAGACCAATGGGACTCTATGTTGTAAGGATCCATTCACACAAAACAGATTGCAGGACCAAGTCTAAATTAATAATAAACCTTAACTGTTTGCATACCTATTACCCAGGACATTTTATTTAATTTTTTTAAATTAATAATACAATCAAATCTAATCCTATTGTTTTTATTCTTATACAAAGTACAAAAGAAGTCTTCAAAATCATCATTTATTCTTAAAAGAAATATTACCATGTACTCTATATGTCCAAAATTAATCCCTTCCTGATTGTGTTGAGAATGCTTTTGACATATACAGAGAATATTATAGTATTATGCTCACAACACACATAGCGAAGACATTCTCATAAGCCCCCATTTTCAGATGCTTATAACCTTTCAAAAAATTTCCCTTTCAGGTGAAATTTCTCATGACAAAATTGAAGAGTTTTGGAAAGTTCAGGAAGTTTTGTCAGGACTTTTTTCAAGCTGCTCCATGAGAGTACTGGGGTCTTACTCATGTGGAAGAGCTTTCAGGGTCTTAGTCTGAAAGAACTGTGACCTGTGTTCAATTTAACACATGTAACTCCCAATGACTTTAGTGGGAGTTGCATCCATATATCTTGAGGGTATAACAAAGTCAAACTAATCCCTGACTTCAATGAAGTTGTAGTGACCTACACTGAGGTTGAATTTAGCTCAGAATTCTTCACCAGGTAAGAATTTTTCCAATTGATTTTACTGACAACTTCAATAGGACGTATTTTTAAAACATCTAACTGGAAATCCACTTAAGATCCAATCTGCACCAAACTCAGCATGACAGACTTCTGAGCCCGTGCAGTGACTACCAGCTTCCATCAGGAAAAAAAAACTTTTGACATATTTGTATAAAACTGATATAGAATAAATGTTATAGGTGTTTGAAAATCACAAGCACTATAAGCTATTTTCCACACATTTGGGTAATGTTATTTGACTGTGTGATCCCACATGGAAGAACCCTCAAATAAATGTACTCAAAGCAATGTCATATCACATGCTCATATGAACGTATGTGTGGGTATTTAATCTGTGATCCATTGCAACTTTCTTTTAGAGAAAATAAAAGCATTACATACAAATATATATATTAATGTAATATTAATTTTAAATGCACAAATATTAGGAAATTAAGTGTATAGTTTCCTAAGGTAACTCAGCCTAATGTAACTTCCCCCTCATGCATATGAGATATTCTGTACAACTGTGTATCAGTGATTCTCTAATTACGGTCCACAGGCCGCAATCAGGTAGTACGTGGCTTCGTTTATAGTATGGCTTCCCAACCTGGGAGTGCAAACAGATTCAAACAGGAATGGACTGTCATGACCACCTTCCCTTTATTTATGTCTAGTTGGGAGAGAAGTCCCAAAACGTTTTCCTGTTGTAACATGGCTCATTGTATGGGGAAAGGTTGAGAATCACTGGTTTATAGTATAGTATCAAAATGAGAATCCATTATAACACTCATTAAGATTATAACAAGAGTATACTATGTATTTTTCAGTTTGAGATATGGCGTGCTAAATCTGAAAGTCTGAGAATGGCTGCTGTATATGATTTTATCACATATATGTAAAAGTGTATGGTTATGGAAAACATACCTTGGAATTTCCTGTTTTGCAATGTAAATCTCACCTATAACACTGTATTAATACAGTATTTGACACTCAATTTTTAAGTCTAATTTTAAAGTTTATTACTTCATCAAAACTTCAATTATTTTTTTCAAATGTTTGGGCCTGCTTATTAAAGAAGTCATAAAACGGAACAGCATGTGTGTTTCATCATTGTATAGTAGCACGCTGCTTACTTATTTTTTACTGAATCATAGCAAATCTAATTATTTACACCTTCTTTATAATTTAGTCCTCTTTCAGATTAAAACGAATCAAGATTCACTAACCTGTCAAGTTTCTACTTTGAAGAAAATTATATTTCTGACAGCTTAATTTACATTCTGTTAACAAAACACAGCAAAGCAGTTACACAGAAGGGGTTGCCTAAAAGTCACTGTAACACCCCTGTTAAATGGGACAACAAAAATAAGGTCTGATAACGCAGTGTAATTTGTAGCTGTGTCAGTCCCAAGGTATTCGCAAGACAAGGTGGGTGAGGTAGTATTGTTTATTCAACCAACTTTTGCTGGTGAGAGACACAAACTTTCGAGTTCTGTGTAAGTATGAAAGCTTGTATTTCTCACCAACAGAAGTTGGCCCAATAAAACATAAAAAGAAAAGGAGTACTTGTGGCCCCTTAGAGACTAACCAATGTATCTGAGCATAAGCTTTCGTGAGCTACAGCTCACTTCATCGGAAAGTGAGCTGTAGCTCACGAAAGCTTATGCTCAAATACATTGGGTAGTCTCTAAGGGGCCACAAGTACTCCTTTTCTTTTTGCGAATACAGACTAACACGGCTGCTACTCTGAAACCAATAAAACATAGTATCCCACCCACCTTTTTTTCCCCTTGTGATGCATCAAGTGTATTACATTCTAGACAGCAATTAAAAAAAAATGTAGCAGATCTGCTAACCTTTTTTTTTTTTTTAACAAAGTTTATTCTAAGAAAACTCCATGTACAGAAGATAGGCCTCATGATTTATCTTTGGCTCACATATTAACCAAAAGATTTTTTTTTAAACTTTTTCATAGTGTTAACTTTTGAATTTGCATAGGAAATCCGGGGTCATTCCTCACACATTCATACCTGCACGTTACTGCAAAGTGCTGTGCGGATACAAACCCAGGGGCACCCTCCCGGAGGCAACAGACTGACGAGTCATCACCCCACCTCCTGCTGCACAGTGCGCTGGGCATAATCCCTGCCCCCACTCCCGTCGGAGCGAGCGCAGGGCGGGTCTTCCCGGAGAATTACTCGGGACCGTGGCATCCCAGGCAGGGGACTTGTTGAAAGCGCCTGCCTGATCAACACGGTGTCCCGAGGGGGGAGGGGGAGCGAGCTGTCCTACAGGTGATGACCAGACAGGCGCAGCGCCCAGCCCCACGCCCCGCCGGCGGGACCCGGCTCAGAGGCCTGGCCGCGGCTCACCCGCAAATGGCAGCAGCGGAGCGCCGAGGAATCCCCGCCCGCGCTGCACCGAAGGGTTTCCTCCTTCCCCCGGCTGCCGGAGCCGCACGGCGCCTCCTGACCCCAGGCGCGGCACCAGCCGCACGCAGACCTCGCCCTTGCAGCAGCCGCCGCCGCTTAACCTCCGCCCCCGCCGGCGGGGCCCTGCTCCACGCCCACCCAGCCGCCGGCCTCCCCGACACCCTTCCTCCCCGGAGAGGCGCCTTCGGGGCAGCCAGGCTGCAGCGAGCAGGCAGCGCCCGATCCTCCCCACCACACCTAGCAACAGCGCTGACAGGACGCAGCAGCAGCAGCGAGGAGGAGGAGGAGGAGGAAGCGGAATGGCTGCCGCGGCTCGCTGCCTCCCTCCCTCCCTCCTCGGAGCGCTGACAGCCAGAGCCGGGGCGGAAGCAGCAGGCGGCGTGTCGTGCCCGTCCTCCTCTTCCCCCCTCCCCGCGCCGCCTCCGGCTCGCCGCACTGCCTCCTGCCAAGGCAAACTAACTCCCCGCTGCAGCGGCGCCCCGCGTGGGCCCCCCTCTCCCTCTCCTCCCGCCCCATGCCCCCGTGTGCAGCCGCCCCAGCCTCCCCTCCCCACGCCTTGCCATGCCGCCTCCTGCACCTCACGCCTCCCCCCCGCTTCCCGCGGCCCCCGAACACGCCCATGCCCAGTGTGCGGCCACCCCGGCACCTTCTCCCCCCGCCCTGCCCGTGCCCGGCATGCAGCCCCACGCCCCTTGCACATGCACCCCCGCGCCCCAGCGCTGCGGGGGGTTCCCCCTCCCGGCCACTCACCGATGTGGTTGTCCTCAATGTGCTCGATGAGCTCAGCCAGGCTTGGGAAGTGGAGCCCGCAGCCCCCGAACCTGCAGGTATTGGAGAAGAAGGAGGCGGCGGCGATGCCTGTCATGGTGTTACATTGAGATCCCCCTGCAGTGCCTGCTCTGCCAGGGCCGCCGGCGGCAGGGCGGAGAGAGGCGGGGGAAAGGGGGAACGGGACAGAGAGATGGAGAGAGAGAGAGGGGGTGGGGAGGAGGAGGTGGCCGCGGCGGCAGCAGCAGCGTCGGGAGCGGCGGAGGGGAGGGACGGGCTGGGTGGGGGGGAGATGAGGCAGCCGCAGCTGGGAGGAGGGACCAGTGCTGCGCTGTAACAGCTGTGCTACCCCAGCAGCCACCGCCGCCTCCAGCAGCAGCAGGATCAAGGGACCCAGGCCACACTCATCACCTTATCAGGGGAGACTTAGCAGCAGTTCACACTGGAAGTCACACCTCTCTGTTGTATAACAGACCCTCTGAGCACTGAAGTATCTATGTGAAGTTTGGAGGGGGGAAATGTTATATTTGTTTGTAACTTTATTTAACTTTTTCCAGTAACACACTGGGGGTGGGGAATTAAAAAAGAGCTCATTTTTGTTTGCCCCATAAAACCAATTTGTGATACTCTTAGTTGACTCCAACTAGTATCTTACACCATAATTAGCCTCACTTAAATCAGTGGGACTACTTGTGGAATAGGCTATGACTGCTTATTTTTACTAACAGTAGCATTATCTGGTTCACAGAGGGGAACCCACAGTACCAATTCACCAAGTGGTGTAAACCAATGGTTCTCAACCAGGGGTACACAAAGGTCTTCCAGGGGGTACATCAACTCATCTAGATATTTGCCTAGTTTTACAATAGGGTACATAAAAAGCACTAGCAAAGTCAGTACAAACTAAAATTTCATACAATGACTTGTTTGTAGTGCTCTGTATACTAAACACTGAAATGTAAGTACAATATTTATATTCCAATTGATTTATTTTATAATTATATGGTAAAAGTGAAAAAGTAAGCAATTTTTCAGTAATAGTATGTTGTGACACTTTTGTATTTTTGTCTGATTTTGTAAGCAAGTAGTTTTTAAGTGAGGTGAAACTTGGGGATACACAAGATAAATCAGTCTCCTGAAAGGGGTACAGTAGTCTGGAAAGGTTGAGAGCCACTGGTCTAAGCAGTGCATTCACCTAAACCTCATACAGTTCCCATTGACTTTACTGAATGTCAGCACCTAAAAGGTACAGAGCACCCTCAACCCCATCTCATTGGAGTTGAGAGTTCTCAGCTACTTGCAGAATCAAGCCTTTAGGCCCTGATCCTACAGACACAGGTGCTTGACTGTACTACTGTAAGTAACTGATTGAAATCAATAAGGCTATTCAAATTAATAACATTAGACACATACATAACTGTTTAGAGGATTGGAGTATGAAGGTCTAATTGGCACAGAATTTGGCTCTGTTTCTGTAAGATAGATCTTTGCAGCATAAGGACATGATTCTACTAATCTTTGCACATTGAACTCTTGTGTTGATAGGAGTTGAGTAGAAGAGCAAGAAATCGGGATTGTGCCTTGGTGTAAAACAGATAGAACTGGAGAAGGAAATTAATATAAAAATGCAAAACTCACTCTCAAAACCTATTTTGACTTTTTTGTCTCCAGAAAGCTAGTCACTGGAGAGGCTGACTGATTAATTGATTTGAATGAAGTTCTCCTGAGGCTAAAATTCATAGACAGCTTTATTTAAAATTAAAAAGAAAAAAAAGAGAGAGAGAGCTTTCCTGTCAGGTGGTTTCTTCAAAGTTTTTTTTTTTTTTAATAATTATCCCATCTTTGCTTTATCACATATTATACTAATAGTTCAAGCAAAACCAGTGCTGCAAAAAAATTAAAATACTGGCTTAAGATCCTAATCATGCAGATACCTATGCATGTGCTTAACTCTATGCCTAAAGTTAAGTACGTGCATAAGGGTCTGCAGAATCAGATTCTGATTAACTATATTGCCCTTAGCTGCTCCCATCATTGCTGAAGGGGTGATTGCCTAAAGAGTCAAAAAGCTTTCAAGGCAGCAAAATGGTTAGTGGCTGCAGGCATGGAGGGTATGCCAGTTTGCTTAGGCAAGCAGAAATCTTGGAGCCAGCTCTGACTACCTGTGCACTTGAGAACCTCAAACCTCTTGGTGTCAAAATAACCTGCTTCTTTGTTCACAATTTTCATATAAATTAACACTGATTTTCCCTATAGGTTGCATAACTTCCTATCAAAAAAAAGTGTTCCTAGTGTATATATTTACTTTACTGAATTGTACATTAAAAAAATACACACAATTTATTTTCCAAAGATACAGATTTTAGGAAAGCCTGCTTTCACTTCAACACTAAGGCGTTCTATATGAAAGTTAGAATTTTCTTGAGTAATACACAGGTTCCTGATATCTAACACTTATCATTTGATCTGTTTGATCAAGCATATTCATGTTACAGGTCACTACTCTCTTCCTTTAAATCTGTCCTCAAGGCCCACTTCTTCCATGATCCTTACAAGAAAATAAGGAAACTAATAATTGGCTAAGCCAAAGGGCAGTTTGTGAGACAGCTGATCCTAATTAGGACCCCAGTCCTGCACACATTGATGCAGATGCTTAATTTGTTACTAAATTTTATAGGATTACTCATGGAAAATTTTTGTAGGCTTGGGACTTAGAACAACAGACAGGTGCAGGAGAAAAATACCTTAAGCATTTTTCTTCGTCATAGGTCTCTGATCTGTAGAAGCAGATCCTAGCCCGATGCAGAGCTCTATTAAAATCAGTAGAGCTCTGTGTGGGTGCAGGGGCCCACAGCTCAGTTTTCAGCCTTAAACATTAACCTTTACAGGCTGGGGACTGGATCTTTATATGAACAGTGTCTAGCACATTGTGAGCGCTACAGTAATATAAACAATAAAATTGTACAGAGAAGCAGGAGACCAATACTCAGTAGAATGAGTATTGTGTGCATGAATTACATAAGGGGCTATCCTGCATCATTACAATCAATGAGAGCTGTCCCATATGTTCAGTGGATGCAGGATCAAGCCCACAGTGAAAAAAAATTGTAAATATCCCTACTCTGTCAACACTTTCCTATAGCTGCTTTCTACTTTTTTAGTCTACTATCACTAAAAAAAATAAATAAAAATAAAGATGTAGATGCTTCTAAATTCCCACAGAAGTCAACAGGAATAGGAAGTGCTGAGCACACTTCTTGGGAGCCACTCAATATCCCACAGATAATGATCCGGGTAATGCCTTTGACTAAGGCTTTATCTACACTGGAACTTTGTCGGCAAAACTTTTGTCATTCAGGGGTGTTAAAAAAAACACATACAACCCGAATGACAAAAGTTTTACTGATGAAAAGTGCCAGTGTGAACAGTGCATTGTCAGTGGGAGAGCACTCCTGCCGACAAAGCTGCTGTCGCTCGTTGGGGGTGGAAGTTTTTGTCGGCAGGAGAGCTCTCTCCTGCCGACAAACAGCAGCTACGCTGCGCACCTTTTAGCGGCACAACTGTGTCGCTAAAAGGTGGGTAGTGTAGACAAAGCCTAAGTCACTCCTCCCTAGTATTTTAGGGCCTGATTTAGCAGGTGTTAAGCAGGCTTAACATCTAATGATTTCACTGCAAGTTGAGGCAGTTCATCAGGTCAGGCCCATGATTAGTAACATACTCCTATGATGTAAACACTTTTTCAGACCCATCTTCTTACTACTTCTCTTCTTTTCAGAGAATCCATTTTTTGTTCCCAAATTAACTAAGGGCCTGCTCCCGTAGACTTCAGTGGTGCAGGATCAGGCCCTATAAGCCAAAACTACTCCTTGTGTTTCCCTGTTCATGTTTGTCTGCCACAAATGTCCCTGACCTTCTCCAGTTTTGGCATCCAGTTATTTTTCTTTCTACTACGTAAGAGAAATGCATCAAGCTACAGCTCTTGTAGAAAGAACCTGCAGAGTCAATTTCCCCACACTATATCTATGCCCCTCTTCCCCACCCCCAACTGTCTGGAAGACTGTGGTTGCACTATCTTGGTGCTTCTTATACAATTATTTTCCCCAACTCACCAGCACATTTTGAAGTGCTATATCTTTATTATGAATAATATTTTGAATTTACTACACTTCTCATTCAGGCTTTTCAAAGCATTCTACACAGATAATAATACTTGCCTATCTCCATTTCCCAGCTTGGAAAACTAAAACAGAAGGTAGTAAGGACTCATAACTCCCACTGAAATCTGTGGGGGACGAATGTAAAAAAAAATCAGACCTGAAAGTGATGCGGAGTTGGAAATACAAACCAGCTCTGCCTATACCTATTTTCTGCTATAACCACTAGATAAAAGTGACTCCCTTATTAGGGCTCTACACTTGCAAAATACTTTTCACTCTCCCAAGCCACCAAATTTTTCGCTCCACTGTCCTCTGATTTTAAAAAGAATGTCTTATTATTTGTTGGTAATATTATCTGTATTACTGTTTTGAACTGTGTTTATGATTGACGTACGTGGCCATACTTTTTATGCCCACTGAGTGTTATATCTCAATCATTTACATCATGAGGGCTTTATCTTAAAAAAATAGGTGTGATTAATACTTTGAGGAGTGCTGGAGGGTCAGAAAAGGGAATTTACATTCTCTATCCACAGGAAAAGGTGGAATATGCAGAAGTGGTGCAACCTCTCACACCACCAACTAATACGTCTCATTCTTTTTCTGGAATAACACTCTGACAGCCCTCCCACAATAGTACTGAGTCACACGTTGTCAACAAAGTTTGGTCCTGTCCTGGAGAGTAATATTCAGGTACTGACTATACCAGTTGCTTTGAGTTTCTTGATTTTAAGCTCTTTGGGGCTGGTACCATATCTTCCTATGTGTTTGCAGCCCCCAGCACAATGGGCTTCCGATCCTGGCTGGGCCTGAGGCAAACCCTTAATACACACAATAATCAAGTGCCACTGTGCATTAGTGTTGGTCTTAAAAGTGGACTGCAATAAGTTAAACTTTTGTAGAAAAGTGTTGAAAATGACAAATTACTAATGAAACTTAATGTAATTAATTTTATATAGTGTCCTTGCATAAACATAAAATGTAAAAACGGCCATACTGGGTCAGACCAAAGGTCCATCTAGCCCAGTATCCTGTCTTCAGACAGTGGCCAATGCCAGGTGCCCCAGAGGAAATGAACAGAACAGATCATCATCAAGTGATCCAT